GATTAGGCATGATTGAAATTTTGGGGGTTTTCATGTGTTTGGCTATCTTTGAAGAATTTGTGAATTAAATGGTTAATTGGAGTCGAATCTATTGCTGTTATGACATAAACCTTGTGAAGGAGAAGAGAAGCTGATGGATTTGACACTGCGGCTGAAATTCCAGAAGAAAAAGATCTGCTCCAGCAACTACAAGGAAGTGCCCCTACCCTTCCACCAATCAATGTCATAGCACCTTAGCCAGTTCGACCAGTGTGGACGAAGTAGACCTTGTTTTACAATAGTTTAGGTGTTGTGGAATTTCGGAGGTTGTTAGGATAACAGGATCTGAATGTCCTACTAGAATAACACATCAAGAGTTTGTAGGAATGTTTGTATAATAGGTGTAGTTGGATCAGTCAATGTTTTTTGATTTGAAGAAGTTGAATGCAGAATGTGTTTGACAAAATGTTGCAGCTAAATGTATGCATTTTGCTAATTTATTGACTTACTTACTCAAGATAAATCTGTTTTTCCCTCATGAGGGAAAGAATGAAATATAGTATTGTTCAATACTTGTCCTACAACTTAACAACGAGCAATATTAAGTTATAATTGATTCCACATAGTCCCTGGTTTTGTTCCAATAATATATGACATCAAATGCCTGTTAAAATTGTCATACATATGAAGTCTTTAACAATAGAAAAGGTAAATACATGCTTGTTCCAAATGTCATAACCAAATATTCTTAAATGAAACCTTGAGTTGAAAAGAAAGAAAAATTCTTCAACATTCTGCTCATTCAACATCTTGGACATCCATATCATGTGTCTTGGCACTGCATGTTAATTTAGAGCTCAGCAAGTCTAGTCCTTCAAAGCTTAGTAAGCTTAATTCTTCTTCTTGTGGTAATTCTGCATGCATATATGTGTATACAATGAAATAAGTTAGTACTCATTTACGAGAAAACAGAAGGTAGTAACCAATTACAAGGAATTACCTGTAATAAATTCATCATGCTAGTTGGACCTTGTTGATAGTTGCTCAAAGTATTATGGGTTCTTATGTAGTATTGCTAGTATACAAAAAAGTGCACATGAAGAAAAATATATATATATATATATATATTTATAAGTTAAGTCAGTAACATATTTTACATTACTTGTGAAATGCCATAGATAGACACCAAAAAAAGGATAAATTTAACTTAAACATTACCTGTGAATTATCCATCGTTGCTTGAGATTGGGTTGGCATGTAAATAGTTTCATTGTGAGAATCAGGTTCCTAACATTATTTTAGAACCATAACTTTTAAAATGAGTTAAAATAAAACAAATATTAACAATCATAACTTTTAAATAATAAAAAAATATATTAAGATACCTGTTCCAATAGAGCACATTCTTCTTTATTTTGAGGCTTTTTCTTTTTTGTGAGCTTTTCCAAAGCATTCTTTGGCCTTTTAGATTTGCAAACAACTTTGGTTTTAGTTTTGATTCCTCTAACTTTAATGATATCATCATCAATACAAATATACTCATTAAGCTTAGATGCAGTAGCAGTTGTTGAGATCACTTGAGTTGGTTCTTGACTTGCTTTCTTCATCAAACACGCATCTGCATCTCCCAACGTATTATTAAGTCCTAATATAGCAGTTTCATATGCATCTTTCGACTCTGATGCTCGTGTTGCTAACTGAGTATGCAACTGACATAATTCTCTGTAACGCCTGACAATTTCTACCTCCGAGCTATTTTCACTAGAGACATTGCAAGTAGCTTTTGCACTCTTAGCCTTAATATTTTTAATATTTCTTGTAGAGAGGATTTTTAAGGCACACGCACACAAGATTCCTGCGAACTCATACTTCTTACAACTACATAAAACCGTATTATCTCTTGAGTCAAATGTGACGATGTGGTGCCAATACTTCTTATGAGGGATAGCTTCATATTTGCTGATGCTTCCAATCTCACCATTGAATTTCAAGACACAATCATGATCTTTACACAACTCATCTTGAAACAACTTAAACACTTCTGGTGTATATATATATTTGATATGTGCTTTAATATTTCCAATGGAAATGACAATGCAGGTGAACTTTGACTTGCTCTAAATTCAGCTTTCAACTCTTGATAATAACGATCTTCAACTAACCTCTGAAAATGTTGAAAAAATCGTAGCAAATCATATTTGTAACTATCATACTTCTTTAAAGCATTATTCAAGAACAAAAATTTTGTCGCCCATAAACTAATGCCCATTGCTCCTTTATATTAAACAATCGCCTTAACCAATCATTATCCTTGAGATTATATTTTTCAAGCATGTTATTCCAAGCATTTATAAAATCATCTTCATCTTCATAATCATATATGTGTTGTGTAGATTTCAGCTGCACCAAAATGGATTCAGCTGCATCCTCAACTTGTGATACTCGCAAGTGCACGAACCGTTGGTAGTTTAGCGTATGTAAGTGCGAGGTCGATCCCACGAGGATTGGTGATTGAATGATCCAATTCATTTTTCCTACACAAAACAGAAATGAAAAAGAAAGGAAATAAATAAAACAAGGAAGAAAGAAAATAACTAACTCAAGTAGATAAGTTCCCAAGTTCAATTAGATTAACGGATTGATTCTAGCTAATGTATGATTAAGCCATGGTGTGTGGTCATAACCTTGTGTTCCTAATTCCCTAATTTGATCATTTGTTGTCTAACCTAAAATTAAGCATTAGGAACCCATTAAGCATAGAAGAACATTTTAAACAACCAAGTATGTATCTAATCCCTGTTGTCGAATGTCCATACATACTCTTCCTATTCATAGTTCAATTCGAATTAAAGCATGGTGTATACTCTTAATTCAAACCAAGATAGCTAACATGCAAGCCTAAATGGTGATCAATCATTCAAACTAGCATATTAACTTATAAGCATAATGAATAAGAACATGAACCATAATTGAAACTTGGAAACTAATCAAACTTAGTAAAAGGATTTTCGTTACAATCAATTGAGAACTAGAAAGGAAAACTAAGAGAATTTGAGGGAGAGAAGGGAAAGGAGCTCTAGAGAAGTGTTTGAGAGCTCCCCCAAACAAATATTTCATTACAACAATTGAAAACTAGAAAATGAAACTAAGAGAATTTGAGGGAGAGAAGGGAAGGGAGCTCTAGAGAAATGTTTGAGAGCTCCCCCCCTTGGGGTGTGTTTACAAGATTAGGAAACCTCACTATTTATAGGCCTAAGGAAGTTGAAAATCTGAATTATACAATTGAATTATCTAAACACACTAACTTCACCTAACACACTACACTTAATTCACCAACTTAACCTAACACACAATTGCATTTGAAAACAATTCCTCTTGTCTTTAGGCTTAGTGTTCAGCTCCCACTTCATCATCTTTTGGCTGCTGCAAAATTCCACTCAAAATAGGTATTGAATATGCTTCACCAAACTTTCCCACAATCAACAACACTTCATCATGCATATGTCATGCATGACAATGCATTGCAGCCAGCTTGTGGGCTCGTTTTGGGCTTGTGGCTCCAATCTGAAAAATCTGGAAAAATATGGATCTTGAAGCTCTTTGAATTATAGGGGGCTGTAGCCAAAATGAGTTTGTCTTTTAAGCTCTTCATCTATTCATCCAAATTAGGCCTTAACATGCTTGAATTGCATGAATTATGCTCTCTTGCTCTATTTGCCTACAAAACACACAAAGGGAGGCAAATAACTTAGAAATCTAAGAAACTAAGCAAAAGAAGTAAGTAAATAGGGCATGTATATGTATGAAATTATGAGCTTAACAATATGCATCTACCAAAGTCTTTGGTAAAATTTTTCAACTTCTCAAAAGCATTGCTAAGATGCTTGGTTGAGTTTTGGTATATGTGCCAAATGCACAAACAGTGACATGTTTATAGCCACTCTAAAAGCAATGCTTTAGCCATTACTGCATCTTGGTTTGTCAGGACACTTATTGGTTTTTTTCCAGACATAGCCTTGACAAAAGTATCAAATAACCAAATAAATGTGTCAGCTGTTTCAACATACAATAATGCAACACTGAATACAATAGTTTGCCTATGATTGTTGACACCAACAAACATTGCAATATTTTGGCTACAGCCCCCTGCCAGTCCAGTTTCGTAGGTCACATTGCAATATTTGTTTCAGCAATCTACACAGCTCGGATGAAAAATAATCATAATCCACCATCATCCTTGCATTGCATCAACCCAAAAGATATTAGTAATCATATCATCTTCATCCACTTGTATAGTGTGGGAGCAAATTTCGTCCCACGAGAATATTCGATCGATTGATTTCCCTTTCTTCTCTGTCGTCTCTTTCTCCCTGCAAAATAGATCGGAATAAGAGGACCACACCCGGGGGGTGTTGGCCAAAGGCCCTCCGATGCCTAAATTAGTTCAATTTATTCATAGAGAAATAATAGCTACACTACTACAAAAATTGAAATAGACAACGGGGAAAAACCGTCGTCTTTTTCTTTTGAAAACCGTCGTTAAATCGACTGCCATCTTTTGAATGTCAAACTACGACGGTGAATCACCGTCGTCTATTATTTGTAAAAACGACGCTTTTACTCAAAACCGTCGTCTATTAATTGTAAAGACGACGGTTTTTCTAAAATAACCGTCATCTTTACATCTAATAGACGACGATTTTTCTGAAATAACCGTCATCTATTAGATATAAAGACGACGGTTTTTCTGTAGAACTGTCGTTTATTATATCCAAAGATGTCGGTTTTATTGAAAAAACCGTCGTCTATTAATTGTAAAGAAGATGGTTTCTTTAAATAATGTCTTTTATTAACTCTATAACGACGATTTTTTCAACAAAACCGTCGTCTATTAACTATTAAACTGACATCTAAATTTTACATTTTAGCTTTTTTTTTTCTTTCTTTTTCTTGTTTCCAATGGTATCATAAATATATACTCAAATATGCTATTACCCGCGCCATACATGTTTATACTCAAAAATTGTAACTTTCATAAATAGAATATCAAGAGTACAATAAAACAAAATAAAATCTTTAAAATGAAAGTAGTCTAGGGCCGCTAGCTGCAAGCCTAATTACAATCATACACCAAAATTCATATACCTAATTATCCTTCAAGTCAAGTTCTCCATGTGCATACAAAGCTATGCCTTCATCATCGCCAATTTTCCTCTGCATTTCTTCCACTTTTACCACTAACAGCAGCTTGAACCAACATTACTTCCCCCACGCTAGGAGTAGCTTCATTCGAACCACTTCCATTAGCGACTACCTGCAATCAGCAACTCAAATAGGCTATTTTAGGATATTTGTAAACATGGAGAAAAGACCAAATGTTTCCATTTGAGCATGGATTGTTGAGAAATTAGCATGCATCTCATTAGGAAGTCAAATTCATTAATTTAAGCAACCAAGCAGGGTACTTACTTTCGCATATCTTGAATATGCACTAGATGGCTCTATACTTGCCAACAATGATGACATATGAGAGCATGCATTTCATTTTGGCTGTTGCATTTGTTGCTTAAAACATATAAGAAACAAGATGGGCTACGGGTAAAATATCAAGTGCTTGGTCTTTTGTCCAACAGCAGCATATTATCCAACACTAAATAATTGCAAAAAGGAATGCACCTAGACAGGTAACCAAGAAGCATCCATTGTGATGATCTCATCAAAGGGTTACAGACACTTGCATTCCTTAAAAACAAAAAAACAAACTAGAAATCTAAAATCTAGCTAGCTACCAATAAGAGAAACACAACACAACCATAGAATTGGAGAAATGCAAACTTCACTCACCCTTCAGATGCAGCAAATGCAGTTCTTGTTGATAAACTCTTCTTGAGACTATTTCTTTAGGCCCCTTCCCTTGCACTAGCTACCTTCACACTGATTGGCATCTGTCATGCTAAATCATATGATCAACAACTAACATGGTATCAGGAACTGTAACTTATGATTAATATACAAGGCAAACAGAGCAACAACTAATTTATTGAACATTAAAATGTTACATAAAAGGGATTGATCTGTCTCAAAGGTTTTTTTTTTAGCACTTACAGATCGTTCGTAGGCATGGACATGACTAGCAAACACTACGTCAACCTTGTGCTGCACGAACCACGGCTCAAACATGACTCTCATGGTCTCTCCTTCCATGTAATGATAGTTGTAGCTGTTGTAGCTGTTGTACCATGGAGAATACAGTAAGACAATCAACCATGGTGTCTCTCTCTTGTTAAATTTTGGTAGCTCCTGCTCAAGCCATTGGTACTGAGGAGTGTATTTACCTTGAGAACAAAGAAATGATATGTTAAATGAGACTGTTGCAGCAGTAAATTTAACAAGGAAATTAATGTATATAAGATTTCACTAACAAGTTAGAATTGATTGGATGTTACATGGAGAGCCAAGTGTCTTGTTTGAATCAAAGGTTTGGCCCAAATCCCCTGCAAATGAGAGCCAAATGGTAAGTCAAATTTACAAGTAATCAAATAGCCAAATTTGCCTTGTAAATTAATCAAAAGCATAAAACGCAAACAGAGCAACAACTCAGAATCAAATGAAAAAAAAATATAACATGTAAATAATAAAATAAATAAATAAATCAAAGAAGTGGAGAGAGTCTGAGTTGTATGATACTTGAAACACTACTAAAAATCAAATCTAACCAGTAAAAGGATACTAGGGATTTGAAATAGCAAAAGCCCCAAATCTCTTACTGAAACCCTCATTGACCACGACTGTGCAAGGAGATGGTTGTTGACCTCAACGACATGAGGGAGAAGATTGCGCTTGATGTTGTTCATGTGGTTGGCAAGGGCTTCTTGCTCCTCCTTGTGAAAATCGTGGAGACGATACTTTTGGCGACCTCAGTGACATGGAAGCAAGGATATGGCGACCTCGGTGAACTGGAAGGTGAGATCTGTGACCTGGATAGCAAGCTCGGTGACGAAGAGGGTGCCATGGAGATGCTGTTTCAGAGATGAGAAAGGGAGTTGAGAGAGAGGGAGGGTTTCTGAAAAAGTCGCGAGAGAGAGTGTTTGAGAGAGAGCGAGTTGCTGTGAAAATTATAACTTAAGTAAAATTTTTGTCCAACACCTTTACAAGCACGACGGTGTTTTAGAAGGAACCGTCTTGATTTTAAACTTCAACCTTTACAAGCACGTAATTTTGTCTAGCGTGTTTTAAACTTCAACCGTTTTAGAAGGAACCGTCTTGATTTTTCATAGTTTTCAAAAATACGACACTTTTTAGTTTTACAGTCGTCTAATAAGGGTCGTGGTTTTCCATAATTGTAGTAGTGCTAAAAAGGGTACGGAGATGTATGTATGATGTGAACTGAGTGGTCGGAGACGTGTGTGGTGGTCGGAGCCTTGTATAAGAGGGAGAGAGAGGAGGCGGCAATGAGGAGATTTTTGTAGTATTTTTGTGAGCTTAGAATGGCTTACCTCATGCCTTGCATAGCTTCGTATTTATAGAGCCTCGTAGGGTTAGGGTTTGGAGAAAAATAATCCTTGTTGGGAAAGGAATTATTTTTCTGATTTTAGGATATTTAAATCAATTAGGGATTTAATAAGAATCAAATCCTTAATTCAAGGCAAGAATCCCCAAATCAAATAATCCCCAAATGGAAGGAAATATTTGACTTAGGGTTTGGCTAAAATTCAGTTCCCACATATAGCATAAAAGAAATTGAGATCACTCAATTGCATTTGTTGTAAATATTCTAACAGGCCCCCTGTATCTCCTACCCTCATTTCTCTTGTACGCTTTGAACGTAACTAATTTTTATAATCTACAGGAATGAATGAATCCAAGATTCTAACGGCCACTGGCTTGTCTACTCAGAAGTTCTAGAGTTGCTTTTGGAGCAATCCTCGAACTATCAGCCATATCTGCTTCAACTATTTGTGCAAAGACATGTTCCTATGTGACCTAAAAAAATCGGTCTTACAAGGACTAGAAGTAACATGTGTTAAGCTCATAATTTCATACATATACATGCCCTATTTACTTACTTCTTTTGCTTAGTTTCCTAGATTTATAAGTTATTTGCCTCCCTTTGTGTGTTTTGTAGGCCAAAAGAGCAAGAGAGCATAATTCATGCAATTCAAGCATGTTAAGGCCTAATTTGGATGAATGGAAGAAGAGCTTAAAGACAAACTCATTTTTCCTACAGCCCCTTGCCAGTCCAGTTTCGTGGATCACATTGTAAGATCTGTTTCAGCAACCTACACAGCTCGGATGAGGCCGCATTCTTCATGAAAGTTGTTCCAATGGGTGTGTACTATAACATATCCAAAATTCAGCCCCATTGGATAAATCTTGAGTCTGTCACCTAGCAAACACAGACCCATGCTCAGGATGGATTTTTGTCAGCGAGCAAAACGAGTTAACAATTTGTTTCGGCCTTAACTT